ATCACTTATGATAATACCTGACAGGGGTGTTATATATCGATAATAATATGGACATTATTATCGATATATAGCACTTTTAAAAATTTAGTGATGTAGTTTACCCAAAAGTTCTATACTAATTGTTATATCTAGAACCTACTTGTAAGTTTTCTATTTAAATATTTTAGTTTTTGTATTCATTTATTTATTTATATTTATTAATAATTCTAGTTAATACTAATAAAAATATGCCATAATCATTAAGTCTTTAAAACAGTTTACTTATATAAAAAATCTTTAATCTTGTACTAAATTTTTTAAAATCTTCTGTATTCTATTCTTACAGCTAATTTGGTAATACTATAGCTAAAACCAATACTTATAGTTAGGGCTTACTATTAAATTGTTATGTTTTTATAATGTTTAATTTTAGTACTTACTTTACAATATATCTCTATTACTTTGGTATTTAATTCAAGTTCTATTAAGCTTTTAGTTTAGATAACCCAAAAAGGTAAATACAACTATATTTTTAGTTTATATATTTTCTGACATATAATTTTTTTTAAAAAAGGTTTTAATAGTTTAATTAGTTATAATAGTTCTTTTTTAAAAACTAACATATTATCTGACTTTACAAATTCTAGAACTATTTTCTAGACCTAGTTTTTATAATAATATTATCAAAATTTTGAGCTATTTTTCTACTTGGATCTTTCAAATGAGTTTTTATTTTTCTGGTTTTTGTAATTTACATAATTACAAAGACTTATTATAAGTTTATACTACCTAATACTAATTTGTATTTCTTTATACAACAGTATGTTGTATAAATGTTATGTGATCTTTCAATTATGCTAGTATAATATAAATAATAGATATTTGATCTTAATTAATAACAAAAAATAGTTAACTATAATAAAAAAAATTTAATTTTTATCAACATTAAGATTTGAACTCTAGATCTGTTACTTTAGAGTTAACAATATAACTACTTCACTATGTCACTATATTCTTAAAATATTTTATTTATAAGTTTAAAAATAATTAAAAAAAGTTTAATTAAATTGTTTTTAAATTTTGAATATAACTATTTTAACAACTACTTATTTAAATTAAAAAATTTTTTTTATTTAATTCTATATATTTTATAATTAAAAATAAATTTTTTTTTATTAATCTTAAATAGATAGTTGTTAAGATATTTTTGTTTAAAGTTTAAAAAATTTGAATAATTATTTAAATAAAAGTTGTATCAAAATTGGTTTAAGATTTAGGTCTTATAGCTTAGTAAATACATTCTCAAATTTTTTATAGACAAGATTAATTATTTGAATTAAATTGAAGTCAATTTTGTTTTTGTAATTTATTAAACTACTTAATTAAATATAAAACTCTATAGAAAAGTTCAAGTATAGGTACAAAATTGAAATAAAAAAATTTATCTGAAGAAAATCTAATTATAAAATACAGGTATTATACATAACAATAATATTACAGAATGTTATAATTATAAAAAGATTATACATATAAGTTCTTAAGACTAAAATAGCATTAATATCCTTAATTTTCCAATATAAGCAGTACTAACATTTCTGTATTTAATTTGTAATATATTTGCTTAAAAGAATAATTAATAAATTATACAAATAAGTTCTAATTAGAATTCAAAAAAAAAATTTAATTAGAAGAGTAATCTAAAAATAATTAAAACTAGAATAATAAATAAAGTAATAAATATAAGAATAGTCAGTAATAAAGAATTAAACTAATCAAAATTAAAAACATCTCTAGCATAGTAAATAATCTGATTATAGAAGAACAATTTTAAAGCTTGATGTATAACTTCTTTGTATAAAAAAAAACTAAGTTAAGTTTTAGTTGTACTTAAATAAAAGTTTATAAAGAACAAAACTAGAATTAATTAACTAATATAAAATAAGATTTGCAAAGTAATATATTATTACCAAAATTAGTTAACTTCTTAATTATAATTAAAATTATTATACAGATATTATTAAATAAGCTAAAAGCTTGCAATATATAGTAGTATAGTATTACTAAATTTAGAAAAACTCTTTAGGTATAATCAGAATTGTTCTGTTTATAAATATAATAAGTCCCAATTCTTATTATAAAAGAAATTACCTTGTTAGAAGTTAAATACAATACTAAATTACTGTATAATACTAAAATTTGAGATATCTGTAAATATAGTAACAAATTTAACTTAAGATATAGATTAACCAAAAGACTAATAATAACAACAAGTCTAATTTGAAATATAAGTTTATTGTAGATTCTAAATATTATTAAAACACTTTAAAAAAACCAATAATAAATATATCAAAAATAAAAGATTATAAGAATTAGATATACCTGTGTAAGACTAATTTGAAAGTAATATAGTAACAAAAAAATAAAAAATATGAGAAACAAGATATTATTAAATATAATTAGATAAGAAGACAGAATAAACAAGACCAGATAAAATATATAATTAAGACATGAATACATTTACAAAAGACAGTATCTCTAATATTTAGAATATTATATTAAGTTTTAAAGATATCCTTATTTGTATAACAGTTTAATAATATGTTTTAATTACAAGTAGTTATTAGGATAACTGTATACAAGCATACAGCAGACATAAACTTAGATACATATAAGTGATCAGATAAAGTCAGTAGAAGTATAATTAAAATAACTAATATAGTACTAGTAATAATTCTGTAAATATAACCTCAAATTGTACTATATCAAATTTAGAACCTAATAAACCAGCTGGCAGAGTTACCAAAATTCAAAAAAACAAAGTTGTTTTAAATTTCAAGTAATAATATTTTAACAACACTTATCTTGAATTGATAACATTTTTTATTCTAATATTACGTATCTTATAAATTAAAATAAAACCATTTTATTAATTTTAAATATAAAATTATCAAAATATTTTTAATTAAAATTTAAAAAAAAATGTCAAAACAAAAGTTATAATAATTTTTTTATACTTTAGATTATTACTCTAAAATTAATAAATTTTTTTATTTTGATTTTTTATAAAAATAGAAATAAAAAATAAAAAAATTTATTGATTTTAAATAAGTAGTTATTAAGATATTCTCAAAAATAAAAAAAATACTTTGATTATTGTTTTTATCTAATTAGAATATTAATGTTCAAGTAGAATCTTATTTAATTACCACTTTTTTCACTATAGCTAAAGACTAAGTTTTTGGGTTGCGTAACTATCCAAATCTCTTTATTTAATAAATGTCAGAGATGAAGCTGAAATCTGAAGCCTTAATTTGAAAATATAAACCCTATTAAAATTCGCCTATACCCTTTTATTATAAACACAACCCTAAATTATAGCCTAACAAAACACCCCAAACAAAATTTAAAATTTCATAATAAAATAAGTTAAAATCTCAGCATTATCCCCGACAATAAAGTAAATTTATGCTACACAATAAAATCCTTTTAACTATATAAATATTACAAACATTGATAATAATACACTATACATGTAAATTATGACTCAGATCCGTATTTTGTATTTGTTTTCGAAAATCGGCTTTTGATAAACTTAAATTTAAGACTATCTAAGAAGTTAGGTTTCGATGGCGCATTTGTATTTGGATTGCTGTTATTAGTAGGTTTTGTAGTTACTCCAATATTACTACCTTCTTCTAAATCTGTATGACTATCTGGCTCGTCAGTTTCATCTTTCATTACTTCCTCTACGCTTTCACAATATTTAACAAGATCATCTAATTCAAATTCATCAGCCAACTTTTTAATTTTTCCTAAATTATCATCAACGAAATCGTCATTTATATACACAACTAATTTATATTCAACCAATTCTTTAATGGTGTCAATGTCAAATTTTTCAGATGCTAATAATAAACCTTTACAAGTTTGGAATAATGTATCTCCATTCTCCTTTTTTTCAGAATTTTTTATAGCCTCATCTAATGATTCTCCATATAACCACCTTAATAATATGCGAAATGAATCAGGTTCAATATCATCATATGTTTGATTAAAGTTTGTTGAAGGTTCAAAAAATAATTCTTCAAAATATGGTGCAGCACAAATTAATATTGAAGAGTTTGCATAAATTTCTTGTCCTTTAACATTAAACAAGACATTATTAAAAGGCGTGTTTTTTCCAGCATTTAAAAATTTTATCATAGATTTAGATACTCGATTAGTATTTTCTTTTGGTTCAGATTTTGACCAAATAGGAATATCAGGAGAATTTACACCAGCTAATTCCAAAAGTTTTGGATATTTTAAAAGATGACTGGCAACAACTCTTCTTCTTGGGTTGAAGTCCTTTTCAATCTTTAAATCAAGTTGTGGTGCTGCAACCCAATCATACGAATTGAATGGATCTGTACCATTCAAAAATATTTTAAGCCTTTTAAGCCCTTTAGGAAAGCATGATCTTAGTTCTTCGCAGTCGTTTTCTAATTTTTTATAAATGTGCTCTAATTCTTCAAATATTAATCGACTACCAACATCACCCAACTCTTTCCATTCATCCGATTTTGTTATTGTTGATTGGATGGCTTTTAAATGATCGATGATTATTGGAATAGTCGGTAAACCAAGATTTTCATAATTTTTTAAAACATTTTCAGGTGGTTCATCTTCAAAGAATGCTAATTGAGTCCATGCAAGATTCATATATTTCGGATGACATAAATTTTCAAAGCACTCTAATTCGTCCGAATCACTTTTATTATGACATGAATATAATTCGTTTAACATTTTATTTGGTCCACATTTGATTTTTGATGTTGGAACAAATTTAATTTTTGATAATTCTTTCCATTCTTCTTCAGAAAATGATAGTTCAGTTTGGTGATCATAAAAATAAAAAATAGTTCTCTTTGCTGAATTTATGATCTCCCTTCTATTGAATATATCTTCCTTATTTTTTTGAAATTTAGACTGAATTTCTTCTGCACATCTAATATAAATCTCCCGTGTAACATTTCTTCTAAATCCCATTTCTTCAAGTACCTTTATAGAATATGAATTATCATAAAGACCATTATGAAGAAATCGGTTAGAATCTTTATAACAAAATTTAAACAATTGATGCTTTTGGTCGAATAAGTCTCTTGCACAGAAAAGAGTAAATGATTGGTTTGGAATGACTTTTAAATCCTTTAGATAATCTTTTAATTCATTAATACTAGTAGCATCGGTGAATATTTCAATTAAAAATTTTATATAAGAATTTTGCTGATTTTGAGGAATTGAATCCATATTGGGGACAATGACATCTTTAATATATCTTAATTTATCTTGTACTTTAGCTCCTGCATATTCCAATAAGCTTCTCATATTTGGCTCAACTGTTGTATCAAAGTAATAGGTATTTTTGTTTTTAGGTGGATAAAATGTAAACGACCTTAATGAATTTGTGGGTTTTGGTATCAGGTATGCATTAGGGTCATGAATAGATTTACATATCGGATTTCCATCTGAATCTTTAACATGTGTTGGCCATATGGGTAAACTTCCCATTGTTCCATACCAATATCCCACATTTAATCCTACAATACTTATGTTTCTACATAAATACTGACACAAAACCTCTCTATCTTTTTTATTGGTAAACTTGTTTTTTCCAATGCATTGATATTTTTCTATAACAAGTAAAACACTAGACGGTGATAGATCATAAATAGAAATTTTATGGAAGTTATGGTATCTTTTAGTAAATCGAATTCCGATATTTACCAATGTACGAATGATTTCAGGTGATGAATAATCATTATATGTTATTAAAGGTTTGGATAATGCACTTTTTATGCTTATGAGTTGATGTTTATTTGGGTTGCTTGGATCATAAACATCTAATAAAGGAAATGACTTATATGGTTCATAGGATTCATTACCTATACATCTCCATATTTCATCAAGCCATTGTTTATTTGGAATTGATTTACCATTTGGATCCCAATCTCGTTCCGATTCAATATGTAATTCTTGATGTAAAAGATGACTAATTGTTGGCTCTCCAAAATTTTTAATATCGGTTACTTTACGAAAATCATCATCAGAAAATGTTGAAATTAATTTTCGTGACTTTAATAATTCGATAGGAATAAAATGATGTGGTCCTGCGGTAGGAAATAATTTATATTGTTCCTTTGTACTAATGTAATATATTCTACCATTTCGAAATTTTCCAAATTTATGATTAAATAATGGAACCAAGTGAATGTCTTCAAGATCATAATATTTTTTATCTTCAAGAATATAACGAAATATAACGAAAATGTATTCTTCTTGCATATGTAAGATGCTTTCATTATTTTTTAAAATCTTTCTAATAAATTCTGGGCTAGCATTTCGAGGTTGTAACGTTTCTAATTCTTTTAAATTCTTAGTTTCAATTAAAACTGCGGGGTATTCTTGTTCGTTAAGAAAGTGAACAACAGCTTGTGGTGTTTCTTTAGTTACAAAGACACATTCTTTGAAACTAACATATGTACCATCCTTATACGTTGACCAAAATATTTTACTTCCTTTTTCAGATGCAAGTTCGATCACCTTTAGCCCATATCTCAAAATTTCTGCATTTTTATTTTCTGGAATCGGCCATAATCGTGTAATACCTTGAAAATTTGCAGTGTTTGACAATCTAGATCTAGACGTTCTTTCTATTTTTATATACTCTTCAAAAAGCTTCACATGAAGTTCTGGAAGAACGTTGTCCAAGATTTTAAAATTTTGAGTTGCTTTTACATCATTTTTAATACAAGTTTGATTATCGCTAGCAAACACGAGACTTCTTCGGTCAGATGAAAGAGCCCAACCACTTGCATGTATGTTTACAGAAAGTCCTGAAGGAATAGAAAGTAAAAGATATGCATGAAAATTTCCATCCTGTGCTATTTCTTTTGCTAATAATGAATTTTCTGGCGATTCAGGAATAGCGACAGATATTCCACCCCATGTGTTTAGGCTAATGTTATTTTCTCCAGAACATATGAGCCACGACTTTTTTTCTTTCTTTATTTCTCTCTTATCTACTAAACATAACACCCGTTTTTCAACAAATTGTTCAAGCTGAACATCAAGTTGAAATGCTTGTAAATCTTTTCCATATAACTTGCGATTTTCTGCATTTTTTGTAATTTCGACTCTCCATAAGGGTATTGGAGCATCATTCTGTTTGGTTTTTCTAAATACTTCAAAATATTTTACATTACGCAGAAAAATTAATTCTGACATTGCATCATTCTTTATGATGTTTAATGATTCCTTAACCTCATTAATATCATCAATTTCGTCTGAAATTAAACTTTTATTTTTTCTAAGTGGTAATCTAAACAATGTTCCCTTGAATTCTCTATTATAATCAATTTCGAATCCACATTCTTTAACTTTCAAAAAAGGTTCAAATTGATCTTTAAATTTATTGAAGACGTGATCTTCATTATAATTCTTAAAACTAAATCTAGCACCAGAACTATTATTTGGAAGAATTGCTTTTTGAGGGTCGAAAAATATTACATCAGTTCCTGATATTAATTGTGGTAAATCTGTAAAATGGTAACATGAATTAAACCCAAGACCAAATTTTCCAATTTTATCACATTGTAACCATTTACTACTTTTTCCAAGATTACAGAGAGATATAAAATCTTCTTCAGAAAATTGTCCATCATTATATATCCATATTGCAGGTCCTTGTAAATCATCCATAGTATCTTGTCTTAATAAGGATTTATTTGAGTATTGACTGTCATCAAGAATAACACAAAATCGGGTTGCACCTGCATCATCTGCATTCTGAAGAAATTCTCTAAAAACTATTTCTTTACGATTATAGTCCTAATTAATAATCAAATAATTACTAAACTGTTATCAGATTTTATATTATTATTGCTCGATCAGATGACTTTATTTACGCGAAGAAACTCCATTTACAGGCTTCAGGCTCTATATCAAAATGCTAAAATGCCTATATCTTTAAAGGGATATTTCGTCACAAACGAACGATTCACATCTTATCAAAAAGGAATCACATAGCTATAAAGAGAATCGGTTATATAGTGTTATCTGGCGATGTGAATGCACTGCTTACAGAATCCGCGGAGTCTAGTCACCAAAACATGAAAACATGAGTCCTTGCACTGCCTACAGCAGCCACAGAGCCTAAACACCAAACACGATATTTTAGTACTGCCTACAGCAGCAGGAGCCTAATTGCCAAACGTGAGGTAATTGCGCTGCCGAAGGCCTATCGGTACTAACCACTAGCTTACTAAATAGGTGTCGATATATTGCCTTTGGTTAACGGATTACTGCAAGACGGGAGGACGATAGAGCCAGCCTTCACTACAAGGAGAGCGATAACAAAAAGAAAGATAATCTCCTCTATCCCTTAAATACGTTACTAATTACATACCCAGAACCATATGATTACCCCTTGCTTCCCTTACCCATTATCTAATGGTCATAGTAATTCATATCTCAACATTCATAATATTAACCGGAAAAATACTAACAAGATACCATAAGGCCGTACACAAAAACCCATAAGAAGTTAAGCGACAAATTAAACATGTGATCCCATAAAGTCATCTGATCTCGCAATAATGATTGCCAATGACAAGCTCCTCACTTTAAAAAAAGTTCATAATAAATTAATAAATTGATACATTACCCTAAGAATATTTTTTAGTCTTGTAGTTAGTTCTTCATGTTGCCCAAAATCAAACATAGTATCTGCTAAGAAAGTCTCACTTAAATTTCTAAGCTTTAATCTATTTGCTAAATCTTTTGAAATCTCTGAATGCACCAAAGTGCTAAAGTCCTTCATTGAATCACTAACCCTTGAACCCATATCATCATATAAAACAGTTTTATAGTCTACCATCTGACATTTCATATTTGGAATTAATAATCCTGTTAAATCTTTTTCAGTTTTTGATAAGTTATCGATTATAGCTATTACACTAATCTTTTGTAGTGGGTCTGAAAAATCAGCATCAGAAAGTACTTGGAAATAATCATCAGTATCAAGTGTTTCTTTAACACCAAGTTTTTCAAAAAGTATAGAATATCTTTTGTTTTGATGCGAAATCTGAACCCAATAACCACTAGGTATAAAACTAGGAAGAGAAAATACAACTTTATTTGTTGAATAAAGTTTATCTTCATTTAAAATCCATTTTTTTCCTGATAATTCTTGATTTAAAAGGTCCAAATGAGTAGACCCATCGGGTTGATTAATTATTTCAACGAAATGTTTGTAAATTACATTTATTTGATCTCTGATTTTATAATCAATTATATTGGAGTTGTTTGTTCTTTTAAATACTTCCAATGATTGTAATAATTGATTTATTACAATCTCTGTCGGAGGAATACTATCCCATCCGAGAACCTGACGTAAATTATCATTTATTATTCTATTGTTAACTATCGGCAATGTATAAGAAACCAGAACTGCATGCAATTGATCTCGGCATTCTGAAGATTTTGAAAATATAAGTTGAGCATCTGAGTTAAAAGTTGGAATCCACTTTTCTGATCGAATCTTTTCTTGCAATGAGATGTTGTCTTTAAAAGTTACATAATTATCGTCGATATAATTTAAAAGTAAAAGAGATTTAGAATGTACTTCATCAATTTGGTCCTGACTCATTCTTGATTTATATTCTTCCATACGATTGATAACATCCTCACTAGTTATCAATTTTTTCATTCCCAATTCACTTAATTTAAAAAGATAATCGTGAGTTGGATACGTTTCAACAGGGAAGAATGGTTCATCCGAAAAAAACAATTCTTTTATTCGAATTTTATCTGGGTCAAAAAGCTCGATTGGTTTTTTCTGACCTGAAGAAGTTTTAACAAATGCTATTTTAGAAAGTTGACTATGGAAAGGTTTAATTAGTGTCCATCTCTCAAAAAGCTTTACAATCACCTGATCCATAATACAAGGTGATTGAAGGCCTAAATGTGAAATAACATGTTCTTTCCAATATTCTTTTTGATCTAATCGTTTTACTCCGATCACATTTTCAAAAATAAAACAAGTGTCGTCGGAAGTATGAGCATCCAAGAATGCATAGGGAGAAATAATAAGTCCACATGATAGTTCATCTTCTTTAGGAAGTAAGCAATACTTCTTTCCCGCTGTATCTAGTGAGTCGATACTTATAGCATCATTCTTGTCCACTTCGTAAAATATTGGAAATTGCTTGATTACATTTACAACTTTTTGATCAAAAGAAGATTCACATCGCAAATAAGCACCAATATAGGCGATTAAATCTTCTTTTTGACGTTTCGATAAATCGGATTGAGTAATGTTTAAAGGAAAAGAAGGATTATCCCTGAGAGATGAAAAGACTTCTGTAATATTACTGATCTCAATTATATAATCTCTAAGTCTGTAATTTGTACAATAAGTATTTAGTCATAACTTGTGACATTAATAAACTTAAAAAATTTAAAAAGTCATAAAGTTTACAAACATACCCTTCATATTTAGAAAATACTTGTTTTTCAAATTTAATATCTACAAAGGTTGAACCCAACGATTTTAAGGGAGAAATTAAATTTTGCAACAATGAAGTTGAAACGCGTAGTGGACGACATAAACATTTTGGCGTTTCTTTTAACTTTCTCAAGGTAATAACATCATTATTATTTTCGATTGGTAAAAGATAAACATCTGAAAATTTTTGTAAATTTCTATCAGTTAATTTTAAATGATTCCAAATTTTATATATCCATTGCATTTGACTTGTTTCTATTTGCATTTCTCGAATGTCCTGAGAATTTTCAGAATATACTTTATATTTATTTAATGACTTTTTAAGAAATTCCGCGAAATCAACATCTGACAGAATTTGTATATTGATATTCCTTTTATTTGTTGCATAACTTTGCAATATTGATAATAGTTTACTTCCGATTGTGGTATCAACTATTTCTCCTAGATAATCTTCATTAATAAGAGTATGTTCATTTTTACTAGCAATATGGAATTTATTCCGGGATTGAGATTCAAAAGTGGTAAAAGTTTGATTTTCAAGTGGTAGCAGAGGAAGACCATAAAGTCTAGAGACATCATTAACCTTGAGAACGTATTCTAATAAAATCAATTTTTCTTGACGGCCAAAACTATTTAATCCGTTCAAGTTGGTAAGAATAAATTCACACACTTTTTCTGGAGTAACGTAATTCAAAATTTTTGAACTGTCTTGTTCCAACTTGGTCACTATTGGTTCCGGAATATTTACAAAGATTGGAAATTCTAATTTGATTAATATTTCTGATAGAACTGTAAATTTATCAAATTTCTTGTCGTTTAAATATCCATCACTAATTGACAGATATTTCGATGGACCACGAAAAACACAAAGACTAGGATCAAGCTGATTAATAACATTCTGTAAAAGATTGAACCATAGACAATCTTTTTCATCTAATTCTCGATAAAATCCGTCCGCAGGTATTGGCCAAAGAGTATAGATTTGTTCAAATGATACATATTCTTTTACTTGTGATAAAAGTTTGTTCCATGCCACCGGGATAACGTTTTCAAATAAATATCTGTTCCATGTGCTTTTAAGACGCAATAAATCACCTGATGCCTAGGAATAAAAATATTAACATTTATTTAATGTTAATTTAACGTTCATATGAATGATTAAATAACAACAATCTAATAATTACGCTACCAGATCTTCATCCATGGAAACCTCCAAATTCCTTCTATTTTTACTGACAGCGAAGCAGCCATTGACTGAAACTGAAAAATCGTCCTTATGTCCAGGCAAAGGTAAAAAGCAATAAAGCTTTCCTTTATTCTTTGATACATCATCTATTCTTGCAGCCAACCCAACATTTGGCACGAATTTGCAATCACGAGTATATTTCTTAAATTTGGTATAATTTTTATCATTGACATCAGCAATATAATTGATAATTAGCCATTCACTTTTGATATTAGATTGAGAAGAACTTTGGCAAAATTTCATTCTGTAAATAGTCTCAAAAGCAACAGTATTTCTTGGAGATTTCATTATTGACATGATATTATTAGCCAATAATTTTCTCCTATCAGATACTTCTTTAGCATTAGTAACTTCGATTTGATATAAAAGTTTAGGAATAGTTTGACCTTTTTCGATCTTGTAGAATGATATTCTTTCAATGTATTTCAAAAACATGAGACAAGTAATGTTATCAACTTGAAAAAAAGTTTCAAACATTTCTTTTATTTGGTCAACTCGATATATTTTATCAGAAATTTCTGATTCTGAAGCATCCAATTTCGTACGAAGGGAGTATCGGAATATTGTTCCATTATAAAATTCATTTAGACTATTACTTAACGCTACTGAAAACGGCATAAATTGATCAGGAAACTTTTTGAAAAAAAAAAAATTCAATAACAATTATATATGCACAAGTAAATACAATAAATTAGGTAAATTTCACCTTTTTAACTAGATTGTGTTCTACGAAATCACCTTTGAAACCTCGTTGACCAGGTGGCAAATTACAATAACCACGAGCATGAGGGTCGATAAGAACATAGGATGACCCAGAAATAATGGAACTAACATCAGTAAGATGAAAAACTGAATTGAATCCGATACCCATTACTGAAATTTAAAATTAATTTGTTAGATTCTTGAAATAATAAGCTTATCATCTACAATACTGCAATATTGTTACCTCCAATTTTATCAAATTTATCTCTTTTCCCGCTATTAGCCAAATTCAACAAAGATTTAAAATCTTCCGGTTGAAAAGTGGTATCGTTAACAGCCAAAAGTGCAGGACCTTGATACCGATCAAGTCTTGGATCACATAATTTTTCAGTAGGATAAGCGTTATGATCCAGAATGAAAGTTTGAACAGTGCTTTTTGCATCATCGGAATTTTGCAAAATTTCTCTAAGGATTTGGGATCCATCCGGATACTCTGTTAAAATATTTTTAATGCGAGTGGTGTAACTTTCATCAGGATGGAAAGAACCAAATGGGGAAGATTCACTCATAATGACGGTCTACATAGGAGATCACTCTAAAATTTAGTATATCTATATTTAAACATCCAGTAAATCATCTAGTCTTAAATGGTGAATTGAAAAAGGCAAAACTTACAATTTGCGGCTTTTAATTGGCAATAGATCTATCGCTATGGGAACTGCTGTTTTAACTTGAATTATTATGGACCTTTTCACGTGACCTAATGGAATGACCTATAAAAAATTCAAATCTGAATCTGCAAAAATATGTAAAACATAATCATCCAAAAATTGGCTTTGTCAATCAAGGAAAAAACACTAAATTCAATTAATAGCTAATTTTTTCTTTTATACCATATCTGTTTCTCGAAAATCGGAAAATCCAGAAGTCAAACTCCTACGTATTCAAATTGGCTAAGCAATTATAACACAAATTTCAGGTCATTTGACATCATCCAGCCAGAAATTATAGGAATTATGCTCCATTTAGTATAAATGAGTTATCTGTTGATCTTTGTAATACATGTTGATTTTTCATTGTGTGCCTAATATTGTCAATTAATCGAAAAGTAAACGACCAATCGGAGTTTATCAATATTTTAAATATTAAAGTTACGTAAAGCACCTTATTTAGCTGAACAAAGTATCCTTCGTGTCAAATATCGATTATCTATAGAAGTGACCCATATTATTTGTTAGCGAGGACTCATCTGTTTAGGCAAACTTGAATGTATGATCATGCAATGTTTGTCCGAAACTATCGAAACTACCAATCAAAATCGAGAATTGAGGGTTCCGTGATGATCTGCAGTTAAGTGTAATCTATGTTACATATTTCGCTTCGGACTTACATCAGTTTCTGATTTCCTAGTGATATTTAATTTTCTATCGTTATGCACAAAGAAAAATTTACGTCACATGAATATTTTTTTCGGAATCACTATATGTCATTATTTCCGAATTTAAATTTAAATATATCGATATACAAAAGCTATTTCATTTCTAAAATTATTGAATTTTTTTTCGAACATTTATAAGTATTTCTAATCTTTTTAATTTTCGTTTTTATGAAAGATCATTAATACAATAAATATATATTCAGAGTAATCATATCATCAAAATATTAAAATATGTCTCAGGATAGAATTCTTTTTTTGCAGTCCGAACACGCAAAGCAATATGGTCAAGATTACAGTTGTTAGGCGTAACATAGAAGTTTCGCCAAAAAAATTAAAAAGACGAAATGGATTCTGATTTGATTGGCTAAGAGCGATGATCAAAATTTTGGCTGGAATTACTCAAAATTTTACTAATGAAATCACAGCTGCCCATCAAGTGAAAATTGTTCCTGGGCTAATTTTACCATTGTGTAGGTTTATTTCTTTGAAATTTCTATTTTGAGAATAGAAAGTTAAAAAGTTAATTCCGGCCAGAAATTAGTAAACATGTGGGCCAAAATTTGCAGATCCACGCCCGTTAGGCATAAGTACCCCAGTGGCACCGACAGATTTTCACTGATCGACAGCGATTGACCAATTAGATTACAAGATCGGGTGTAACGTGAAATCAAAACAAAAAACTAACATTTTTTAAAAAAACCACCATAACTCAAAATTTCGCCTATGTAACCATCTTCTGCGCTTTAGTAAAAAAATTTCCTTGCAAAATTTTAGTATAAGACATGTATCGTTATGATTATAAACCTGACTCTAATGTACTGTTTTATGGCTTTAAAAAATTGTCGATCAGTGAAAATCTGTCGGTGCCACTGGGGTAGTTGTTAGGCATCGAGGATCTGACGGGATAATTTTGTTGCGACAGCTATAGTTAATTAATTTTTGCTGCACTATAAACCTGGCACACATTCTTCGACGGCATTATGGCAATACGGCATTACGGCAGATAATATTTATGGTAATCACGTATTGTGTCGTAATTAATTCTACCATCTGGTAAAATGCCGTAATTCAATAATTCAATAATTCTATAGCTCTAATTCTATATTTACACACAACATGTTTATAATTACGTTAAAAATATTTGTCATATATGTAATGTTTGTTATCGACAATCAAATTTTACACATTTTATTTATTATATATTTCCTAACTGAGATTTAAAACTAGCTAAAGAGCATCAGAAAATGATTGTTGATAATAATAATGTTAATGAACTACTTACATATATATGGTACTTGATGTTTTTTTAATTAAATATTAAAGAGAAAAAAACAACTGTTTAATAATAAATTTATTTAAAATTTAAATTAAAATTTTATGTTTATTTACATAAATAATATTAATGCATTGACAAGTGATTCTAAAAGAAAACATTTAAGTTTTGAATTTTAAGACTAAGTACATTTAATTATAAATTTTAAAACCTGAATTCTAGTTTTCATTTAATAGTAATTAAATACAAATAAATGATTATCATTTTGTTTTTTTATTTTTATTTTTTTATTTTTTATATTAAACTAGCTTCTTTTAAGATTGAAATTTTTTATTTAGTATTTTAAAATATAAAAACTTATAGTTGAGGTTTCAATGAAGTTACTTTTATATTAGAAAGTACAACTAGTCATATCTATTTGTTGATGTTTAATTTAAGTAATTTATATATAGTTTTACATTAGCTGTTATACTTTAAATCCAACTATAATTATTGTTTATTTAAACCTTCTGTATTACAATTTTTACTATATTATTAAAACATTTTTAATATACATATTAGTTTAAAAGTTTTATATACTTATTCATATTTTTAAGACACTATCTTATTTTATATAATGCATTCTTAAAGATATTGTTATTAGAGTTTTTCATATTTTACATATAATTGTTCTAGTTTTATGCAATATGTTATAGCAAATTAATATTTGCAATCACAGATATTTTGTTAAACCACTATATTATATTATTTTTATTTTTGTAAAATTTACTCAAACTTTAATATTTATTTTTCTAACTTCTTTTTTATTATTTTCTACTAATTTTCTTACTTAGTAATAATTATACTTTGTCAAACTACTAATTTAAATGGTTCTATATAGTATACTTTGTATTTTTTTTTCTAATAAAATTTAGCAATTTGGTTAATTATATGTTTTTTTATATATTCTGTTATTCAGTTTCTAGTAGATCTTTTAGAAGATGTTTGTTTATAAACTTTCATTAATTTAATAATATTGTTAAATATTTGTATTACTTTATTATTTAAGAATTTTTAAGTATACTTCTGTTTTTTTAGTTTTTTAGTTTTCTGATTTATTTGTCTTATTATAAATTTGCACTAAAGTCTTATGTAATATCAGTTATTAATATTCTCTATATGCATATAATAATACATTTCACATAAATGCCTTTAGTTTAAAAAACTTAATATATACAAATTTATTTAATATACTATGTAATATGCTATTTCTAAAATTTGTATCAAAATGCCATTTTGATATGTTACTATTTTATATAATACTATTTTATATAACTAAATATTATATATATATATACATTTAGAAATGTAAAAAGTTTAATTTAATTTAACTTAACTCCAAAAGTTGAGTTTTTGTTAAAGTTGATTTCAAGTCAGACTTAGTTCTTAACTTGTATTTGCACATGTATTTAGTATATTTAAAATATAATATATATCATGTATATTTTATATTTATATTTTTTCTAAATATACTAGATGCATGTATAAATAAGTCCAAGTCTAACTTAAAACTAAACTTTAACAAAAACTTGACTTTTGAACTTAATTAAACTTTTTATATTTTTATTATATATATATACAAAAGTCATATTATAATTAAAAAGTTACTATACTTAAATTATATTTTAATAGCATTTATTGTAACAAAAGTTATTAAATATATAGTTAAAAACAATTACTATATTTTTCTAAAAATAAGCATTTGTTTTTTGCTATAAGGTTGCTTATTTTTGAGTAGTTTAATAAAATAAAAAATACCTATATAAAAAATAAATTTTTTGTTTTTTTTGTTTATTATAACAATTATATAATTGTTTTTATAATTTCTTTTGTTATAATAATTATTTAATTATCTTTGCATTCTTTTTTTTTTGTAATCAAGTTCTTAAATAAATTTATTAAAAATAAATTATATCTAATTAAATCTTATATATATGTTAAAGAAAATCTTATAAAAAATTAATTAATACTATAAATATAGATTAATTTACTTGAAAATCAAATCAAAGAAATGCTTCCAAGTAAATTAAAGAAATATTTTTAAGCAAAATTAGAAAAACATTTCTAAAACAAGTTAAAAAAATATTTTCAAGCTAAAAAAAAATAATATTTATAAGTCAAATTAAGAAATACTCTTAATTTAACTAGAAAAAAAATTTTAAAGTATTAAAGTCTTTTACTTATTTATAATAATATTAGTTATTTTATTAAAATATAAGTACAATATAATAAAAATATCTCTCTTTAAGTAAAACAAACTAAATTGTTAAATATAATACTAAAGTTACTAAATAAACATGTCTTTTATTATATTATACAAAAATTAAAAGCAATTAATTATGTAGTACAATATAGAAAAAACATAATTACAGTTAATTTTAATCTTGATATCAATATGATTGAATATTAGATAAAAGCAAGTTTAAACTATAGAACTAAAATCAATAACAAAGCAAATAAATTAGTTCTAGTTAAAGAACTTTTTATCTTAAAGCTAAAAAATGCTTATATACTATATATAGATAATTAAACAAAAAAAGCAAACATTAGCTATAACTTACAAAACTATACAAAACTAAATAATAAAAACTTTATAACAACTAGGCATAATAGCTTTTTATTTATTTATTTATTTTTTTTTAACCTTAAGCAGTCATGCTAATGCTTTATTAAGATTTTGAAATTATATTTGCAATTATATAAATATTCTTAACAACTAAG